TCTCTCTCTCTCTTTTTTTTTTTGGTAGACCAGGCTGGCCTCGACTTTTCATTCTTTAAAACTAAGTTTAAAACACGTTTCTTAGATAACTGCCTAGTCTCTCTACAATTAGGTCCTTCTGTTACACCAACACTCACCTTCTAGTAATTAAGTACTTTGTACAGGAACTTAGTACTCTGCTCTGAGTACAGCCGCCTCACTAATTATCATGAGTGAACAAATCCCCAATAGAAACTGCTAGGGAAGGTTACCTAGAGAGCAGCTGTAAAGTGAGGAGAGGACCAAGAACAGCCCCTTAGAAGTTATCTACATTCAGAGGGGAAAAAGATGAGAAGCAAAGAGATTCTGAGGAACATTAAAAAATAGACTGGGGGGTAGTGGTGACAAGAAATAGCAATGAGGGGCTGGAAAGATGGCTCATAAATCAAGAGCACTTGCTGCTCTTGCGGAAGATCTGGGTTCAGTTCCCAGAACCCACATCAGGTGGTTCACAACTATAAGTAACTCCACTTATAAGGGATCTGACATCCTCTGCCTCCCAGAGGCACCTGCATGATCATGCACATACATACACTTGGGCATCTGTACATAACATAAAAATAAATATATATTAAAAATAAATAGCAGTAACAGTAAATACTGATGTCATTGAATTGTTAAATGTCAGTATCTATTGTAAGTAATCAATATTAATCCATTTAATATTAATTACACACTATTAGATGGTTGCCATCACTACCCTTATTTCATAAAGAAACTGGAGGACAGAGACGCTAAGTTGCTGAAGATTATGTAATAAATGACAGAACCCAGAATTGAATCTAGGCAGTCTTCCATAGACAAGAGGGTTTCAAAGAAGAAAAGAGAACCAACCATGGTAAATGTAACAAACTAGTACAGAAAACTTTAAGGTCTGCACACTTGACAATAGGTGGTCAGTGATAGGGACACACAAATTAGAATAAAATGGGTTAAAAAGTTAAAAGTAAAAAGAAAACCCACAGGATAAAATAAACATTTTTACAAATCATGTATCTGACAAGGGATTTGTATGCATAATATATAACTAATTATAGCTAAATAATTCAAAAGACTACAACTTTAAAAACTGAGCAAGGGATGGGAGGCCTGGAGAGATGACACAGTGGGCAAGGGCACTTGTTAAGAGAGTGTGAGGACTTGAGTCAAATCTCTAGTACCCACTGGAAGGACAGAGAGGCAGACTCTGGGAACTCAACGGCAAGTCAACTTAGCCTAAATGGAATGCATCTGGCCCAATGAGAGATTCTGTCTTAAAATAATAAGGCTAAGATGGATAGTCTTTCTCTGGCTTCCACATGCATGCACTACACACTCACATGTACACACACACACATACCACACATAAATATAAATAAATAAATATTTTTAGAATAAGCAACTATTCTGAATAATTAATTCACCACAACAGATACCAATGTCCAGGAAGAGCATGATAAAAAGATGTTGGACATCATTAATCCCTAGAGAAATATAAATAAAAGCCAAGCAACTCTCACAAGGGTAGCTACATAGAAACTAAAACTCTAATACCCCACTAATGTGGAAGTAAAATGTTGTAAAGCTCTGGAAAAGTTTGGCAGTTCTCAAGAGTTAAACAAAAATATCTTATGACCTCGCAATTCCACTTCAAGAGAAATGAAAACTTTGTCCATACAGAAACTAGCATATGAACATCCATAACAGCATTAATTATAATAGCCCCTAGACGGAATAACTCAAACGTCTGCCCCATGACAAACATGATGTATCCACACAATGTAACATATCTCGCAACAGAAAGGGAAGAAGTACAAAACACACTACCACACAGATGAGCTTTAAAAACATTATTCTAAGGGTGAGTCCAGTGGTACAGACTTGTAATCTTGCTCCTCAGATGGCTAAGGCAAAGAGGATTCCAATTAAAGACTTTTCTGGATTTCAGCGTGAGCTCAAGGCCAGCCTGGGCAACTTTAGTGAGACTTCATCTCAAAATGAAAAATAAAGGGTTAGGGAACATAACTCAGCGGTAGAGCACTTGCCCAGTACATGAGAGGCTCTGTTTAATTCCCAATATTCCAAAATACATCAAAAACCATTATTCAAAGTCAGTCAAGCCACTACTAAGAAATGTATTATTCTCTGTGTGTACAATAAAGAACACTGGGATGAGACAGATCACTGTGTAAAAGCACTTTCTCCACAAGGATGAGGACCTGAGTTCAGGTCCCAGCAGTCATAAAAAGCCAGCCGAAGCCGCATGCACCTGTAATCCCAGTGGTATTGGGGGGCAGAGGTAGGGTGATTGCTGAGGCCTGTTGTCTACCAACCTAGCTCAAAGCTCAGCTAGAGACCCGGTCTCAAAGCAATCAGGCAGTGACAGAGCAGGACACCTGAGGTCCCGAGGCCCTTCTCTTGGTGCACAGAGCTTGAGGAGAGAGGAAGAAGGGGAAGGAGAGGCCTCACATAACTCTACAAAAACAGAAAACAGACTTGGGCAGTTGCTTAAGGCTGGTAATTGAAATTTAGGCAGTAATGAAAAACATGTTCTAAAACTGACTGACTCTGGGAATATATTAAGATTTGAACTGTACACTTTAAGCAAATTATATATCAATAAGTTTTTTTTTTGTTTTTTTGTTTTTTAGTTTACTAAGAAAGAAAATAAAAGAAATACCTATGTGAGTAGACGGAGGCCAAAGGAAGCTATCTACAGGTTAGAGAAGATGTGAATATGTTTACTGACTGACACAATTGAGTGAAAAAAGACCTTCCTATTTAAGACACAAAGCTGGAAAACATAGTTTATGCAGGCCATCTCAGCACTGAAGACGCTAGAGCATGATGGCTCTGAGTTTAAGGCCAGCCTGGTACTAAACAGAAAACCCTGTCTAAATTAATTAAAAAGAAACCACGGGGCTGGATAAATGGCTCAGAGGTTAAGAGCCCTGCTTGTTCTTCCAGAGGTCCTGAGTTCAATTCCCAATAACCACATGGTGGCTCTCAACCATCTGCAATGAGATCTGTTGCCCTCTTCTGGCCTGCAGGCATATATGCAGACAGAACACTGTATACACAATCAATCAATCAATAAAAAGAAACCATAAGTTCAGGGGAGTAGACAGGAAAAAATGGTGACACCTTTGAAAGACTAAAGCTAGAGATAACGAGTGGTGAACAAAGACTGAATGCTAAAGGCTTATATTCACAGAGGCAGACAGTGGGGAGTCTTCAGCTGAATATGAGAAAGTAGGGAGAGGAAAAGGTCCAAAACAGTAATAAATGTTGGGAAAACCGCTGATATGAACAAGAAAACAAAGCAACCAGTAAAAATCCTGTCAAGTAGAACTAAGCACTATAAGAACAGTAGAAGTTTGGTTTGTTTGGGCTTTTGCTGAGTTTCTTTTTTTCAGGTGTGGGGGGTTGTTGGGGCTTTATACATGCCAGGCAAATACTCTGCCACTGTGCTGTAGTTCCCTTTAACAACCTTTTTAGAAATAAATTGTATGGAATCTAAGTTGCTCACAATGGGCTTGAACTTGTGAGTCTCCTGTTTTAGCCTTGCTAGTAGCTGGGATTACAGGTCTATGCCACCTGGCACAGCTTAAAAGTATGTTTTAGTGGAGCTAATGCATATGATCAGATGATATTCTCAGCTAGGCTGATCAGTGTAGGGCTTGCAATCCAAGATGGAACATGATTAAGTAGGGTGCTGAGGATGCTGATAGAGATGCTTGACTAAGATCTCTGCATGGGGAAGGCAATGCTACCATAGGAAGACAGGCATTCAAAGGAAGAAATGGATTTACTGAGGGGCTCAGCAGTATGGTGATATATGTACACCCCAATATACTATGTACCCTATTAGTGTACCCTAATAAACTTATCTGGGGATCAGAGGACAGAGCCAGCCACCAGATTAGACATAGAGGCCAGACAGTGGTGGCACACACACCTTTAATTCTATCACTGGGGAGGCAGAGATCATCTGGATCCTTGAGTTCAAGGCCACACTGAGAACAGAGCCAGGCGTGGTGGCACACGCCTTTAATCCCAGGAAATGATGGCAGGAAGCAAAAAGGTATATAAGGCATGAGGACCAGGAACTAGAGGCTGTTAAGAAATCCAGCAGAGATCCATTCGGATGAAGACTCATCGAGGCTTTTAGTCTGAGGAAACAAGATCAGCTGAGGAGTTGGTGAGATGAGGTAGGCTGTGGCTTGTTCTGATTCTCTGATCTTTCAGCGTTCACCCCAATATCTGGCTCCAGGTTTTTTGTTTTTTTTTTTATTAATAAGACCTTTTAAGATTCATGTTACACAACAGAAAATGTGGAAAACCACATTAAGTAGGATTCGTGATTGTTTACCTACAAGAACTGAGATTAATGGCCAATTCTTAGAGGAAGCTACAAGTAACTGAATTACCAAAAATATAATTATAGGGTTTAGATCAAAGAGTTTCTTAGACCAACTCATTTTAAGATGAATAAAGGGAAGCACAAAGCAATTAAATAAGTTTGCTGAAGTTGTAAGATATGAAACAAAAGCTTGAAATGACCATGAAAGCCAGTCCATTTTATCACGCCATAACTTAAAACACACAGTTTGACAGACTGGCAGGAAATAGAAATGGCAATGCTTCTGGAGGACACTCAATGATTCTACAGTTGGCTTGAAACCCTGGTTCCTTCCAGATGATTATGAGAAATATGATCCAACATGAATTACAGGAAAAGTCAATCTGACATAAAACACTTGCTTTGGTAATCCATATGGAGATAATCAAGAGTTGGATGCAGAATGATATAAATACCCTAAATATTCTAATGCAAGAGCACTTTATACTTCCAAATCCCTTCAGTGTTACTTGAACAGTAAGGAGAGCTTTGCTTATTTTTAAGGCTATTTTTATGTTAGAGAAACATGAAATACTGCAGTGTGAACAGGTCTCTTTCAAGGGGCTAGATATTGCCTTACCTTTACTACCTTGTAGTCACACAAGTACTCCACCTCATAATTGTTTAGATTCCTTTTGGTGATTCCAATCGATTTACATGTGAGCTTTTCTTTTCTACATAATTCCTGAAGAGTATCAAGGGAAACTAGGCAAGGCACACACCAGGCTACAATAAGAAAATAGAATTCTTTACTAATAAAACAGCTACTAGGTTGAAACAAAAACTTAAAAACCTCTCAACTGACAATTTTATAGTCTAGAAATACACACAACAAGAAGCCAATTATGTGTGTTTAAGAAAAAGTTACATGATAAAGAACTATTTTTGGTGACTCGAATTTCTGTTTTACTGACAATGGATAATTCTGGCTTGACCACTTAAAATACTTCATGTCTAACCTTTCTTAGGATTACATATAAATGCAAAAGTAAAAAGAGGTAATACTTTTTACTGTTCCATTATATTCTACACAGAATGTAATTGTTCCCTTAATAAACAGCTAAGACATATTGTTAGAAATATATTAAAATATATTCTAAAACAATCACAATTTATAAGTAACCGTTGCTTCTTTTAATAGCACAGTAAGATTTTTAAATCTGAAATATAGTTCTGTAGTAAAATCCATATCCTTTGGAATACTGTAAGAAATCTGAGCTTCATTTATTTTGCCCATGGTGAAATGTATTATCAACATGCATAAACCAGAAAAGTCTACTTTAAATGGAGAGTATAGTGAGTTTTGTAATGCTCATTTTCTGCATTGTTGGTAATCCTGCACTGTTTTCAAGCCAGCAGTTACAAAACAGAATACTCAATGTAGATAATCCATAAACAAGAACTGAAAGTCAGACATACTAACAATAACCTTACAGAGGCCAGAAAAGAACTGTGTTCCATCCGAATTTAAAACACAATTACACAACTGGTGTCTAGAAAATGTAAAACTTTACTGTAGGGCTAATATAGAGATAAATACTAGATGATTGATCAATAGCCTTCCGCCCTACCCGCTGTTGGGCCACCTAGCTCCACAACTTTAGGAAGCGCCCAATCTTTCTGGGTATCCGATTCACTAAAAAAAAAGTGAGGCTGGTGAAAACAGAGGCGACCAAACAAAACGTATCATTAATTCATCACGCCGTATTTAACAGTTATTAAAGGTAGTAGGCAAAACATTTGGAGGTAAGTTTCAGGGAAGGGAGAACATAATCGCTCTAGCTTCCCCCATAATCCCTTCCTCATCCTCCCCACCCAAGGACTTCACTGCAGGAAACTGAAGCATCATTCCCCACTCCAGTCACTGCAAAAGACTCCTATTTCTGGCACACGCAAACGGCAAAGTCTTTTCCTCAAATTTGCCAGAATACATTGATTGCTTAGGTATGGTGGTTTGAGGATAGGACAGCTATAAAAAAACAAAACACTTCTTACAAATCTTACAAATCGCTTCCACTGAAAATCTTAACGGGTGTTTTGTGTAAGGCTAATCTCCTTACGCTAATCATCTCCAAAGAGGCGTCCTCTTGGTTACGTACCCAGGGTGTTTGTTGTTTTAAAATTTTTACGCCTAGCTGAGAATCCAAAAACACAACCCTATAATGGAGGGTGGTGTTGAACACGGTAACATACGTACTCGCATGAAAATGCCATAATGAAGCCCATTATGTGTTAATTACGGCGCATCGCTCAACAGAAATGCTACATTATGAGCATTTCGGAATATATCTCTATCTCTATATAAACATAAGTATTTTAATCTGCAAACACTTGGTTTACAAAATTACAAAACGATGGAGAAAAAAAAAGTTTCATTGTCCGGATTATTTTTATGACACCCCGCTTATAAAATCCTTCCACCATCCCACCTCCGCCTCGCTTCAAGGAAGTAGAGTTACGGGGATAATAAAGTGTCACCGTCTGCGTGGAGCGGGGTGGGGGGAAGGAAAGCTGGAGAAGAACCCCCTTTTCATTCTAGGACGCTTTACAAACCCGGGACTTTCAAAGGGCGCGCGACTCGGGCGCACGCACGCGCACTGCGGGTCTCTCTCCCCCCCGCCCCCTTCACGGGCTTCAGCATCCACATAAAATAACCCGCAAGTTCCAGCCGGGCCCCCCGCTCCCCAAAGTTTCCTGGAGGCTCAGGGGCTGAGTCTGCAGACACCCCCTTTCCTCCCGGAGACACTCCAGGCCGGCTCGGACGCGGGCACCGCACCTCAGCCCCGCTCCCCACCGCTCCGGAGGTGGCGACCGCGGCGACCGTGGCGACCGCGGCGGCGCGCGCTTGCTTTCCTGCTCACCCTTCCAAGAGGCGGCGCGTGCACACA